GACTTACTTCTCTCAAGGCATATACAGGATCAGACTACACAGGTTCATACCTATTTTGGTCTGTGTAGACTGTCATCACCATCACCCATGCCCTTGATCCTTGAGGTCTACTGCCAGTCAGAGTAGACATAACTATAGCTTAAAACTCTTAAGACTGTGGTTCTGCACTATTTGGCAGTTTAAATCCCACTGAACTGGATAGCCATAATCTAGGGAAAGGCATTGCTAATTTAAATTTCATTGATTTCAGTGGCATATAAGAGTGACCTTTTCTAGTTTGAGGTCATTCAATTTCAGCCAACCTAACTGGCAGAAGGACTGCAGCCTAAGTCAACTATAATATCCTTAATTGGTATGAAAGTAGAATGTAAGATGATGTTGTACAGATAACATAAAGCACAACAGTCCTGTTTTAAACACACAGACTTGCAGATACAAATTTTAATATTCTCTCTTTAAGGCTGCAATCCTATTCCCACTTACCTAGGAGTAAGCTCTTTTGATTTCAATGAGACATATTTCTGTGTCTATGTGTATAGAAATGTGCATGTTTATGGGGGTTCCAGTTGGGAATGTAATATTTAGGGTGGCAGTCAGGTAGACTAACTGAAACTGTCTTGATTTTTTAAAAAGTACATCCTCCATTAATCACCTTAGTTTTTAAAAAGGATGCACATTATTTTTGAGACAAATATTTGCTCTCTCCCTCCTTCCCTATCTCTCTCTCTCTCTCTCTCTCTCTCTCTCTCTCTCTCTCTCTGTGTGTGTGTGTGTGTGTGTGTGTGTGTGTGTGTGTGTGTAAGGCATATATCACTTAGAAAGGAACATCATAGGGACTTTAACATGTTTCTTTTAGAATAGTTCCTTTGGCCAACATGGCTACCTTCATGTTTTGTGTGGAATGTCTCTTCTAAAATAGTATTTGCTATACATACCTTATCCAAAAACACATCACTTTGTTCTCCAGAGTGATTATTTGATATGCAGATTTATGCCAATTTAATTGACATAGAATCCTCTGCATCTGGACTCAAATGTAAACTCCACTGAGTTCAGTGAGACATACCAGGTAGATGTGGGTAAGATTGCTATGTAATAAAATGTCTCGAAATCTCACAGTTGAGCTGCAATCCTGTATCCACTTACTTAGGACAAACTTACATTGCATTCAGTGGATCTAGTTCTGAACAGATACAGGTAGGATTGCCTGATATAACTACAAAGATATTTATAATTGAGTGACAGTTGTAGCTTTAGTCTTCATGACTGATTATGTTTGCAGAATCTAGAGATCCTGGAATTATTTGGGATTCATTGATGCAGAGTTCACAACTGTGATCTTGGATTATGACAGGCAAACAAACAGCTGAGGCAACCCACACAGGTGCTATCTTGAGCACTCCCATCTTGAGTGCTCCCATATGGTTGGTACCATAGAAGCAAGGATCAATAACAATAAAGGACTATCCTTCAAAACTAACTCTGCAAACTTTGATCAAGCTGCCCTTATGTTACTTACTGCAACTTTTTATCTTCTGCTTTTTTGTAAACACAAAAACAGATGGTCTGTTATGGTTCATATCTTTTATTTTAGTACAGCCTCTTTAATAGCTACAATCACAACAGGATATACAGCCCTCAATTTCCAGAAGATTTTACATCTGTGTTGCACTACCAGGAAGGAGGAGGGGTATGGTTGGGTATGTATGCCACTGCAGTAGTCATTCTCTGACAAGAGAACGTGGGCTGAGGAGTGAGGATTCAAGTGGAAGAGACCTGAAATGAAAAGTAGTGATGAGCTTAGGTCAGGGTGAAAAGATAGGCTAGGTTTCAGGGGGTTGGGCTGTTCACCCCCTACATCATAATATTTTGATCAAGGGAGGGAAGCTGATGCCCTAGCATGCCGATTAAATGTGAAATTCTATCTGCAAAGGTGCACATCTCACCGGGCGGATTGTAGAGACTTTGGCAGAGCTGTGAAAGGAAGGAGAGCGATCCGCTTGCCTCACTGTAACCTACATTAGCTCAGGAAGAATAGAGTGAGTCCATCTGGTAGATGCTGCCTGTGGATCTCCAGCACCAATGCGATGCCCTGCTCCTGCATGCCGCCCAGCTTGTGCCAGATGGTGCCTGGGCCAAGTGTCCATGCGTGGGGTGGCTCTGGTTAGCCTAATAAACCTCCCATACAAGTCAAAAATCAAAACACACACATACTAACATCTGCTAGAGCCTGCAGTACCCAGCTAGCCTTTCAATCGTGAATTAAAGAGCCCCACCGCCCTTCTGTTCCCCCTAGGTTAGGCACTCATTACCATTTAGCAAGCACTGATGTTATCTGGCTTCCCATTTTATTTAGCACCAAAGCTATTAGCATCAGATTTGATTTTGACAGTTGATGCAGTTGGTGATGAAGCGGGAAGCCTGGCTGTACAGGAGATCAGCAGGCTCTCCTGGGTCCCTTGCACTGAGCATCCTTCTTTTCCCAACTTGTTTACAAGGCATTTCACCCAAGGCAGACAGCCACCCTGGTCATTTTTCTTAGAAGTAAGTTTTACATATATCAGTGGGACTGGTCTTACTTCCAAGGAAATGTCCTTGACAATTTTTTTCTGGTCACACAAAGGATGCTTCCTAAATAAAAAGCAGTGCAAATGCTTTTCCTGGATAAGTATTGGAGCAAATGTGTTGCATGTTTTGGCTTCTTAAACCAATCTGCTTTGTTTCCTTCTCATGCAGTCTTTGCAGACTATGTCAAAGCAGGAATATTTAAGAAACATTTCTCCTAGTGAGGGATTAAGCCAGAGATTACTGTAGGAGAAAAAACTTTCTAGTACCTGTCACAAAGAGAGAGAGGACCAATGTGTGTAGCATCTAAATATATGTAGTATGAATGGAATGGTGGAAGAGTTCATTACTCTATTCCTACAGGTTTAAACACTGAAAAAGATCACAAAAGGAACCATTTTGGCAAAGGGAAGATAGATGTCCTATGGTTTTACGTGCTAATATTAAATTTACAGAAGCCCAGTGATTCATAGATATTCTGGATTAAAAAAAAACTTTCTAGAGTCAACTAAGATCAACAGAAGTTTCCATCCTTCTTGAGGCAAGTGGTCCCCCACCCCCTCCTTCCTCCCAGCAGCCATCTGGCATGAACACATTTCGCCCATGCCTTTTGGTGCACCCTTTCTAAATCAGCATTTTGCATTTGGTTCACCTAGAATTTTGTGGCGCAGTTATGATCATTCCACGCAAAAGTTGCTTCAGTATCTCTTTTGAAAATACTGACAGGAATCCATCTGGTTCAGGCAGAAATCAACACCTATGTGTGTGCGCGTGTGTGGAGGGATTGTTCTGGATAAATGAAATAGAATATTCTCTAAAATCTTTTTGGGGATTAGTTACATGCACCAAAGAAAAGGTTACCTTTGACCAGAGTATTTTCAAAAATTGCACACCAACTGGTTATTTCACTTCTTTTTACAGGTGAAGGGCAGCATAAACCTCCTGGACAGGGGCTGGCATAAAGGTGGCAAGACCTCATTATCATACAGCTGAAGGTTTATCTTCTCCCTCCTCTCCCCCCCCCACCTCCTTTTTAACAAGCTGAAATAATAGCCACATGAAAGGCCTTCTCTGTGTTTGGCTTTAATGAGGGACACGCGACCCAACAATAAGCACACATTGCAATCAAGGCCAAGGGGTTTACTGGCACACACCAGCCTATAGCCAGGATACAATCTGAGCCACAAAGGTCTGTTTTGCACGAGTTACAGAGAGTGACAATGACTGAGATCCAGTTCCATTCATTTCAAGAAGAATTGTGCTGTCTGATAGGATGGCACCCTAGGCAGCCTTTTTCACCTTTTCCATCTTTCATGAGAAAATCGAATCACAGGGATCTTACTTCAACTGCTGCCCCTCTCCCTCCTCACCTGAGAAGTGAGGATTTTTTTGTAAGTGAATATGTGACTGGTACTCTGGTGCAGGATTTTTGAAGGAAAGTGAACTTCCAAATCTCATCACCCAAACCTACACAGAATGAATTACAAGCAATGGAAAAACAACTTGATTTAATTTACCAAACTGTATATGGAGAGGACACAGAATGAACATCAGTACCTTTTTCGCTCCTTGTTGATCCTGCTGTTTGGCTGCCCTGTTTGGAATGAGACATGCCCTCTACAGTTATTAAGGCGGGGTGGGTTTTTCTACATGTGTGCTTCACACGTAAGGCATGTTACAGTGACCTATCAGCCAGGGTGTAAACCTTCAGACAAGGGAAAATCCACAAGCAAATAGATCTTTCAGTTTCTCAAGTACCATTTCTTGTTTCTACCTGCTATCACTGATGTCTACATGCACCTACGCACATAAACTGTAGTACTGCTGCCCTGAAATCTTCAGAAAACTTAAGACGTCTCTTTGCAAAATTGGATGAGAAAAGGATGATCAGATTTTAAAATGACATCCTTTTCATATTTGAGCCTGCTTAAATCTGTCCCTCAGGAGCGCCTGATTTTCAAGGGAATCGCCTCGGTTGGTTGTAAATACTGTAAATATCTCAACAGATGCTTGGCTTGTTAATAATCAGCTCGGCTCCTTGGTGGTCAACGTAGATGCAGCAGCAGCAGGGCATTAATTCTGGATCTGAGATCTCTGCAACATTTGGTTCCTCTTCCAGAAAGATGAAAAAAAGGGGGAGGGATCTGAGTCTGACTGGCAGTTTACATAATGAGCTTGTAAGGGACGGGGCGGCTGCTATATAAACAGCTCCGAGCGCAAGTTTTCCACTTATTGGACGGGCGCTGCTAGCTTGGGTGAAGGAGGAGCTGTTCTACACGAAACACGCGTCCTTGGAGTTTATAAAGGTGACTTGAGTGAGAAGTTTCATCGCCGGAGACAGGATTAATCCTCCAAAGTGGATGGTTTAACACACACTCCCGCCGCCACGAGCCTGGATTATACCTTCCTATTCAGATTGAGGAGTATTCAGAAGGGGAGACCCAAGTGCATGTGCAGAGCTCAGGACAGAAGCGCATCTTTGGGCCACCTGAGGAATAATACAAGCACGAATTAGACTCCAGGAGGACTGCGAAGGCGGCTTGCACGAAGATAATACGAGGATGGCAGCCTGGCGCCTCTTGGGCTTGACGTTTGCCTTAACAGTTATGCTGCAGGTAATGACACAGTTGCCAGCCAAGGAGAGGGGGTCCTCCGATGGCTTAGCCCAGAAGGTAACAGGCTTGGGTAAGCTCTGATTTGCCTCTTTTGTGTATGTCTCCTCTTTGTGCAGAGGGTCTCCAGCTCAGGCGTCTTCCAACTGGAGCTGCGCGAGTTTGTCAATGGCCAGGGCTCACTAGCAAGCGGAGAGCCCTGCGGGGCTGGCTGCAGGACCTTCTTTTTCGTTTGCCTGAAGCATTTCCAGGCTGTGATCTCACCAGGCGCCTGCACCTTCGGGAGGATCATCACGCCAGTGTTGGGAATCAACTCTTTCGCCATCAAGGAGACGGAGGGGTTTGGCAGCCCCATCAAGCTCCCTTTTAACTTCACCTGGCCGGTGAGCGCTCACCTTCCCAGGCTGGGGAGGGGAGGGGAGGTTAAAGCAGAAGGCACTGCTCAGCTATACCATAAACAAATCCTTTGAATCTTTATTTCCATAACTTTGTGACGTGTTAAAAAACCGCAAAGCAACATCTACTGGCAAATAAGGTCATTGCAAAAACACTTAGAAATGCGAAGGTTGCTTACATCTAGAGAAATTACACATGTAAGTCAACTGGGAAAGTTGCACTCAGCAAAACTTCCCCGGATGGAGGAAAAAATGAGTGAGTGAGAGTGTATGAGAGGCGGTGGGGGGAGAGAATTCCCTCCTACACGGAGAGAGAAAAGACATTTTCCTAGGAGATGAAAGCTGTCCTGACTGGAGGAAGCTCCATTTCATTGACTCGGACAAAGTAACGCTATCTGCAATTAGATTAATTGAAATGTCTATCTACCAGGTAGAGGTTTTCTGGTTTCACTCATTGTTTTAAACTGAGGCAGACACCCCCTTTCTGATCACTTTTCACAACAGCTCCCACTTGGCTTAAATTCTGTACCTTCCACTCATTCCTTGTTTTCATTCACAGGGCACTTTCTCATTGATCATCCAAGCCTGGCATGCTCCCGAAGGTTACCATCCAACAGGTGAATACGACATTTTACACCCAATTCACTAGGGGGCGACAGGTTTTCAAAACTATGGCTTTTATGTTTCAAAACTAGTTTTGACACAAAATAGTTAAGTCTGTTCGTATCATTATAAAATAGCTGTCACTTAAGCTAAAAAAAATAAATTTGATGGCATGTAGCTCTTCAGAATACCTTTTTGGCACTTGCTTTACTTTGCAAGTAAGAGCTGTTCCCTGCATCTTGATCAGTTTTGCTTTGATTTTGTCCCCTACTTAATCTCCACACAATTGCGTTTCCTCCCGTTTATTTTTGGCGTGGGAAAGAAAGGAGCTCTTTGGTGAGAAAACTACAAGGCTGCCAAAAAGTCCTGACTGCCTTTTCCTGTATTTTACACCTTTTTCAAATTCCGCCCTTTGGAAAAGGAATAATGGCTTTGGGATGTTTTTCTGACATAAAGGAAAAGGATATTTCAACAGCAGCAAAGCTCTTACTTTGAAAGATTTTCTGCAAAGCTTATCAGGGCCACATTTGATAATAATGGATACTAAAGGCAACAGAAACTAGTCTTTTTACATTCTCAGTGTGCACCTCCTCCCAGGTACTACAACCTAATGGCTGAGCCCCACATACCCAAGGTACTTCTATATATTCCTGGTTGAATCATGCCTTATTTGGCACACTCCTTGGGTTATACATTCTTCTGCAGTTTAACTATACTTATAGTCTATTGTCACAATTGACATTAATTCTCTGTATTGGAAATCAAACAGATATCTTACTATCTGAATTTGTTTCCAGCTCTTCATCATTCTGAATTATACTCAGCATGGCCAGTAGTTGAAATGAGCACTGCTTTTTTCCCTTTTTTTTTTTTTTTAATGAAGTCACTGGCTGATGGAATCTGTTGCATAGATTGACTTGCATGTTGGGAACTGCAAGATTGATGTGAGATATCATTGTTCATTAGGGTGACACTAGAGAGGAAACACCAGCTGGAGTGTAATGTGGAAGTGGATTTAATAAGGAATTGGTGTGTGGTAGCCTTGGCATATTAGTACAAGCTGGCAGGATGCTATGTGCTATTATTAAGTAGCAACGCTGCATGGCTAGAGAGAAACACAGGTGCCTAGTGTGCTTGTCATAGATGTAGTCTTCCAGGTGGGGAGCAGGGCCCTTATATCTTTAGCAACTATGATAGGTCGAAATGCAGCAGGTACATCATCTCCCAGCATGGTGGGTGAAAAAAATCCTGTCAAATTTCTGCAAGTTATGAAGCTGTTAAAAACAGATGCCCAGTTATACATACACGCACAAAGCAGCGACCAACCTTTTAAAAAGCAAAGGCCACTGATGAAAATAAATGCATGTTTTGTAAATGTAGATTTGCTTAAGGAGCCGATGGTGGGGAGAAGGATGCTGTGATAGCCTGGAAAGGAAACACACCTAGAACCAAAAGTAGAGGGTTGTGTAGGGCAGTAGCATCTCCTGGGTGGTGCAAGTATGGGTGGCAGTGCAAATGAGTGCAAGAGGGCACAAATGCTTAATTTCTAAAAAGACTGGCATTTCAATTGCAACTCAGAAGCCTTTTTAAAGGTTCCACAGGCCTAGTCATTCTGCGGTGAGTTGCACTCTGCGTATGTCCAAAGGTGTTTTTCCTTGTGATTGCTTCACAGTTCCAGATTCCATAGAGTCTGCCACATACTCTTAAGTCCTCATAGCCCAGTTGGGGTTTTGTTGTAGTTGGAGGTCGCCACTCGCTGTGGGGAGGCATTGTGCCTGGGACAGTAGACTGGTGGGGAGGGCGGCACCTCCCCACAGCATCTAAGGGAAGTGGACGCTCGTAAGGCCTAACCCCGAGATCTGTGGGTGTTCACCCGTCGCAGGTTCTGAGACACCCGCCGAGAAATGGCTCATCAGCGAAATGGCGATCCAGCGCTCGCTAGCGGTGGGCGAGGACTGGTTCCAGGACGAGCAGAGCAACGAGCGGGCCAAGCTGAGTTACTCCTACAGAGTGGTGTGCAACGAGCACTACTATGGGGACAACTGCTCCCGCCTCTGCAGGAGTCGGGACGACCACTTCGGCCACTACATCTGCGACTCCGACGGCCACGTCGCCTGCATGCCAGGCTGGACGGGCAACTACTGCACCGAAGGTGAGCCGCCTTCCCCTCGCTTGCTCCCCACTCGCGCAGCGCCCACCGGCCGTTAGGCGGGAAACAACCGCTTCGTGAGGAGAAACTGCACCGCGCGGGAGAGGTGGGAGCTCCCCCTACCGCTCGCCGGCGGTCATGACGCCAACAACGGCGCGTGCGCTCATTTCCAAAACATCCCCCGACCTGTTGTCGCTTGTCGCAAGCTGGCGCTCGCGCGGCCCAATGGCGCATGCGCATGCCTGAGGCCTAAGTTGGGTGGTCAGAGGCCGAGCGAGAAATCGGCGTCAGGACTTTGGGATGATTCACGGAGGTAGCAAGTAACGGCTTACTTCGGAAGAGCGCTATGTGCGAGCAAAGAGACTTGTATCTGTGATGCGTCGTTGCCCGTCAGTGTTCAATGGAGAATCAGAAACCACATTATAGTTTCACTGAGTGCGTGCCTTTTGGTGTGAAGGCCTATTATTGCTGTCTTTTCAGAAGAGGCGCCGCGTTGGGGTTGGAGTGGGAACAAGGAGCAGAGTGGTGGTTGTAATACGAGGAAATGCGCCTCAGGGAAAGGCTTATCTGAGCGGGCCCAGAGAAAGTCTTTCTCAAAGCCTCTTGAACTTTTCACCCCTCTAAATCATCCTTACCCTTTGTTTATATTAGTTGTGCAAGAAATTAAATTGGTTTGTGAGGCGGAGGCAGCGCTAGGCAAAAGTACCAGTGCCGTATCCGAGGCCAGTTACTTTTCTTTTTCCTCCCCGACCTCTTGAAGTACATAGATGCTTTGCTTAGAGTATTAGATTACAGAAAATATTGTGGCCTTTTTAACAGAAGTGGAATGAACACAGTATTGGGTCTGGTCAGCCCCACACATTATAAGTAGTGACAAGCTGCGTGCTTCGGATGGCTGATTCATACTTTACTTCAGTGTTTGCTGATGTAGTTCCATAATGAGTAAAGGGCAGACACTTGTCTCCAGACATGCAGGGGACACATAACAAGAAGCTGGAGCCATCTAGAGTCCTGTTTTGGGGCTACTGCATATTAGGGTGATGTACTCCATAGCTGTGTCACAGTGAATGCTAAGTAGGTTTAGCTGCAGGGAGATCTGAAGCACTGCTTCATAGTATTTGCTGCCTCTTGTGGTATGGCTCTCATCTGGGATCTTGGTGAGAGAGAGTTACTCTATTCAAGTCCTGCTTGTAGATTTCCCATTGGGGCTCTTATAACAATACAATACAGGATTAAAGAGCTTTCATTGGATCCATTACAGCTCTTCTTATGTTCTTGTATCTGTGTCAGGGTATTGGAGCTCCTTGGCACATCATCATGGTAGATACATGCAACACAAATATGGTACTTGTGCATATTGCAGTTTTCTAAGCCTGGATGAAATGTATAGCACATGTCTGGAAAAAGAGCAGTATATAATATAGCCCTGAGTGTCTCATTCATCATAAAGGAGCAAAGCACATACATTGTTTTTTAAACCAGCAACTCTGTATTTTTTCAACATACTTGTTCTTGTGTGCAGAGCAAGAAAAACATATGCAGCTTTAAACCACACCAAATGTAAATATACAAAAGTAAAATTATTAAAATTAACTACTAACTGCAAAAGTGTAACAGCTGTATGATATAATCTGTAGGATTAACATTGCACCTAAAAGTTCTTCTGGGGCTATTTTTTTTACATTCACAAGGCAATTTCCTGGGCTCTTGAAGGGTGGTAAACTTAACTAACATTTAACTTTAATGGTAGTCAAAGATAATATTCATAATAGCTACAGATTTGCCCTCCCTGAGTGCAGATCCTTCACCAATATTCTAAGCAAATCAGTAAAGTAAATGCCACTTAATTTGGCCTATGGCAGGAGATGGAAATAAATGAGAAGCCACACTTATTTTCCCCCATTTCTCTAGATACAAAAAAGCTTTTTTTTGGGGGGGGGGGGTGCAGTGAAGTTCAGTCTTCTAAACATCTGTAGTTTTTTGCTTCTCAAACCTGCTTTAATTGCAATTACATCATTTCCTGCCTCTGTGCTTTTACATCATTTGTTTTCTTATTTGTACCCAGTTCTAATTGCCCTGCTACAGATGGTGACTGCATCAATCATCCTAGTACCTAGATATAAGAAAGCATATTCCATAAATGTCAACCACCCAGAGAGCTTTAGTTACTGGGTGGTATAGAAATGTAATAATAAGAGCTGAAGAGAAAGGTATTTCCAGGTGTAATAAGATCTCATTTACATTCCAAGCATCGATGCAGCTTTTTAGTATGAAAGAACACATTTTTGTATCTACCAAAGTGGCATTTTTGAGTTCAGTTTCATCTGCTTCAAGTTGGTATAAGCATGGTATATAACTGTTTGGAACTCAATTGGTCTTTTCCTTTCAGAATAAAATACAAATAGTCCTGTATATAAGTACGTTTCTGAACTATTTATTCTCTGCCTAACCTGAGTCACTGTCTCTTAGGATTGTTGTGAAAATGAGACAGTTATTGAAGGAATGATGACTGAAGGAATAATATAATTGTTCTAACATGCATTCCATTTTTGAAGAAAGCTTTGAACCTGGATTTTTTTCTTACAGCAATCTGTCTAGCTGGGTGTTCAGAGAAAAGTGGATTTTGCAGAAATCCAGGAGAGTGCATGTGAGTAGTCACCATATTAGATTTCAGTGCAAAAGACTGTAAATCCTACTTCTCTTCCCCTTTGTATTTTCTCCATTTCATTTGTTATCAGTGTAAAATTATATTTGACTTCACTTTGCCAGAGTTTTGTTAATAGTTACTTAACCACATTTCAATTAATTTATTTCTAGTTGTCGTAGTGGTTGGGGTGGCCGTTACTGTGATGAGTGCATCCCTCATGTCGGTTGTCGCCATGGGACCTGTACAAAACCGGGGAAGTGCCTATGTGATGAAGGCTGGGGAGGCCTGTTCTGTGATCAAGGTTAGTTGACAAAGTTATGATGAGACGGTTATCATTTTATTATAAGCTATTTTCTTTATAAATTCATACATTACTGAGGAGGAGCTGAATTCTAAAAATTTAATATTTTTCATTATTTCCAAATCTAACTCACATAGTTTATTATCTTGGACATTTGCTATATTTGTAACCAACTTTAAGAGTTTCTCATAAATTCTTATTTTGTATAGTAGTAGTGTTGGTTACTAAGTGTTTTTAAATTCTTGGAGTTGTATCCAACTAGTGTTTTCCTCTAGATGGAATAGCATCCATTAGCAGAATGGATCCCCCCTTCTCCCTACAAGACCTGCACCCTAAAAATTGCTCTGGAGGGTTGGAGAACTTCCAGAGCAGGTTGAAGGGTGCTGGGGACTACAGGGAGAAGGAGAGGAAAGAAAAGTTCTGTTGCATAAACATAAGTCCACTTGTCCAGTATTGGATATTAGCTTTTAAAAAAAATAGATTGACGCATTCAGCTTTAACTCTTGTTTCATACAAAGAATGCGACATTCAGTTAGCTTTCATAGATAGAACTCAGGCAATTTTCTAAACAGTTCTCATGAAAAGCAATGAACTTTGGTTCTTATTTCTACTCACGAATAAGTAACCCGATAGCACAAATGCAGAGTTTAAATTAAAAGAAACAAAAATGAAACTCCAAGTTCAATTTAAAGAACATTTTTGACTATACAGATGGCATGTTACCATGATCTCTGATGTAGAATCCATTGAATAATGTAAAAACTTAAAGGCAGTGTGTGCATTTTCACGCTTACAAGTTTTTTTTTGGGAGCGCTACTATGGAATCCTTATAGATACTGTCATGTATTAATTAAGAATTGCACGTAAAGAGATTGAGTTAAGAACTGCTTCTTCTCCCTTGCCAACCCAGTCTTCTGTTTTAGTTTCCAGCCTCCGCAGTTGTATTTTTTAAAACAAAAAACATCTGGGGAACAAACTACATATAAAGTGTAGCTTGTCATAAAAGAGTAACTTTTTTGAACGGTTCTTGCACATACTTGGAAGACATCAAGGCCAGTATCCAAGCTGATTCCGTTGTGCAACCAGGCTCCACTGCTTGTGCAATGGGAGTTTAATGATTCCTATAGGAAGCTCAAAATGAATAGAAATCCTTGTTTTTGGATAGGAACAGGTTAGTGGAGCCTCTTTATGCAAGCTCTGCTGAACTGCTCAGTTCCAGAAATAAGCAGAAATTATTGTTTTCAGTCATATTTGTATTGTGCAAGCACTGGGTCTTGCTTGTGGAGCGGAAGCAGCAGAGGAACAACATAATTGGTGGAGGTGCAGAACACCATTGGATACTGCCCCAAGGCCTGACAAAATCTTTTCTTTTGATAGTACTGAGGCATGTTCTAGCTCATATATATTGGGTTTTATGGCATATGCTATACAGACTTGGTGGTATTGTTTTCAAGTTGATAAGTGAACACTGAAATCCAATTAATGCTAATAGGTTTTATTTATTTATTTCATTTTAAACCACCCAGACAGCCTTGGCTGGATGGATGGTTAACAAAAGTTACACACACTAAAAAAGAACAAAACCATAATTGCAATTCCTATTATGCAGCACAGAAGGATAGCAGCAGTACAGAACTAAAATGGAATATATAAAAACAAAGTTTACAAGCTGGATTGTTAAAATCTGGGAAAATTAAAAGGTCATTACCTGGTATCAAAAAGAATACAAAGTAGGTGCCAGGCACTCTTCTTTGAGAAGCTCATTCCAAAACAGGGGTGCCACAACTGAAAAGGCCCTCCTGGGCCTTGCCTCACTTCCTTTGGAAGGGGCTCCTGGAGAAGGACCCCTGAAGATGACCTCAGGTTCTGGGAGGTACATATGGGAGGAGGCGATCCTTCAGATAACCTGGCTCTAAGCCACTTAGGGGTTTGAATGTTAGTATGAGCACTTTAAAAAAGGATCAGACTTCAAATAGTAGACAGTATAGCTGGAAGAGTATTGCCATAATGTGGTTGTGAGCCAGTTCCCATTTACACTCCTGCTGTCCTGTTCTGGATCAGTTGAAGCCACCTACAAAAGATAGTGCTGGCTCTGAGTGCATTAATACAGTTAATGGCTTGTCAGGTTACCTATAATTTAGAGATAAATCATTCTTATGGTGGGCTTTGAAGACACACATGGGCAGTTAATCAGTTTTATTTAAATTGCACTAACAGGTGAAATGCTGACTGGCCTTCTGTCATTGAATGTTTTGTTATGTATCTCATTTGCTGTTCCTTTGATGTATCAGGCACTGGATCTAAGATAAAACTGAGCCTCCAGCTAAGCTGTTTCTCTTCTTTGTCTTAATATATATGGGAAAGCCTTTAAACTTTGCTTATTGTGAATTTTAGAATTGTGCTGCAGAGAAATAACCAAAGTAGTGACCTTACATATCCTTAGACAAGTTTGTTTATTTTAGTCATCTGAATAGTCCTCCTGGCCTGGAGGGGGGGCAGTGTTAAGCAATTCTTATTGTTTCCTTTTACAATAAATTAAAGGTATTTTGGTCAAAGTCATGTTTTGCTGTTACTGCTGCCTCAAAAGCCCATTGAGTGGAGAGTTTTATCTACTTTTATGTCTGTGTATCTTTGCAGATCTGAACTACTGCACCCATCACAAACCCTGCAAAAATGGAGCCACTTGCACAAACACTGGCCAGGGAAGTTACACATGCTCCTGCAAAGAGGGTTTTACTGGAGTTGACTGTGAACGGAATATCAGTGAATGTGACAGTAACCCTTGCAAGAATGGAGGCAGTTGCACGGTAAGGGCTATTTAAACAGTGGAAGTTATTCTATGAAAAGTTAAGCCAAATAGCTTTCCAAAATCTATTCTACATCATATTTATATCTTGCCTCTCCTCCAAAGAACTCAGTTATAATGAGGTTATCCGATTCTGTACTCTCAACAACCTTGTCTGGTGAAGAATTCCATCTTTGAGACACTTTCTGAACACTGGAGAAGGAGGAGAAACCATGATACTATTTTTTAAAATATGCAAATACAGATAATATATTAAAGATTAAGTATAGGGCATTTTCACTGCATTTTCAGTTTTATGGTGTATATTTCCCTTTTTCACCTATAAGACTTTAATAATTACATTCATAGTCGAGGATTTCAGTATGATATAATAAATTAGTTATAATGACATTTACTGTTAACAGAAATGATAAAGCAGACATCTGAGTATATAATCCTTGATGGAATCTGAAAAATCTTTGAATAAATATTTCTATCATTGCGTCAGTTCTAATGGGCTAGTTGTGTGGGTTATATGTACTCTAAGCTATCACACAAACACATAGAATCTGCCTTTATTTTATTTCAATTTGTTTTGGTTGATCTCAATTCTTGCCACTCAGAACAATTAAAAACAAAAATTGCCTGAAAGCAAGTGGAGCTAAATTTGAAATTTCTTTTTTGTTTGTTTTCTGTTGCAGGATTTAGGGAAAGATTACAAATGCACATGTCCCCCAGGATATGACGGTGTTAACTGTGAACACAGTGCCTTGACATGTGTTGACTCTCCATGTTTTAATGGTGGAACATGTCTAGACAGGCAACAAAGAACCAGCTATGCTTGCCTTTGCCCTATGGGCTTTACGGGATCTAACTGTGAAAAAAAAGAGGACAGATGTACCAACAACCCTTGTGCAAATGGTAAGTCCATTCACCAGGAGGAGTTCAACTTTGGGGATAATGGTGAACGCAACTTTAATCCAGTTCTGGGTTTTCTTTTCCTTCTACAATAATGTATACTATGCATTTTCTACAGAACTTAGGGCTTACACTGTATGTTACATAGGTTATATTTCATTTCTCCCCATTAAAAAAAGCAAAATCAGCTGAGGAAAAGAGATCTCTCTTTCCAGTGATTTTTTTTTTCAACCCTTTACAAGCTATATTTCAAACCATGGAGAGAAGTGGGGGAGTAGCTCACAGTTCAGCATTTTGTATATACAGTGGTACCTTGGCTCATGAACTTAATCCATTCCAGGACTCTGGTCGTGACCCAAATTGGTCGTGAACTTAAATTTCCCCATAAGGTTCAATATAAATAAGGTTAATCCATTCTGTGGACTATTTTTTTTTAATCAGAAAAATGTGAAGCAAAGTGACAAAGAACTACAAATATTGTGACCATCTCCCCCTCCCCCCAGCATGACCGCGATCACGCCCGTCATCAGCACACTGGTGGGGGGGGAGACGGACGCGAACGCGGGCGCACTGGGGGAGAGAGACAGGTGCGAACACGGGCACGTTCACGGTGAGATGGGCATGATCATGCTGGTGGGTGGGGAGATGGCTGAGATCACGGTTGCGCTCATGCAGGAAAGACGGGCACAATCACAGGTGCGCTCATGCAGGAAAGATGGGAACCATCTTGGCCATCTCCCTCCCCCCACCCCCAGCACGATCATGGTCATCTCCCCACTTGGTGTGGAGGGAAGATGGCTGCGATCACAGTCGCCACCCAGTGCGGAGTTTGCGACTTTTGAGTCAAAATTTTTATGAAATTTTTGTTCGCAACCTGATTTGGTCGTGAACTGAGGCGTTCGAGAGCTGAGGTACCACTGTATATGATTATATTGATTCAATCATTCCTTAAATCCTTCCACTTCTTTCATAGTATTTTCCTTGGCAAGCACACACAAAGTGTAAAACAGAAAATGTTCCCCTTGTCCATGCCTGATTCTTGTTTATCAGATTTATCTCTCCAAGTTTTTCCTTTTGATTGCACTAATATATTATAAGTTCCTTGAGTAAAAATTGCCTCACTTCCATCTTCAGTGAAACAGAGGGCACTAATTCAGCTTTTAATGTGTGGGTTTTTTTCTACAGGTGGACAGTGCTTTGTTTTGGGCCAACAGCATGTATGTCGCTGTCGTCCTGGCTTCTCTGGACAGAAATGTGAGATAAACATCAGCAAGTGTTCCAGAAATCCATGTTCCAATGGCGGATCTTGTCATGACCTCGTGGCTACCCATGATTACACATGTACTTGCTTGCCAGGCTATACTGGCAGAAACTGTGATATCAGAACTAGAGATGGATGTGCCTCTGGGCCATGCCAGAATGGGGGAACTTGCTACATTGGAGTTTATACTAGCAGTTTTGCTTGCCATTGTCCCCCTGGCTTCATGGGCAGCCATTGTGAATTTCCAGTAGCTGAGCTTCCTAAACCAGTTCCATGGGTAGCGATATCCATGGGAGTTGGGCTAGTGGCTCTTCTCATGTTGTGCTGCATGATAGCTATAGTTATCCGGCAGATGCAGAGGCATCCAGAGCAGAATTCAGAAACCATGAACAACCTGTCTGACTTCCAGAAAGAAAATCTCATTCCAGCTTCTCAACTTAAAAACACCAATAAGAACAAAGACCTTGAAGTAGACTGTGTGCTAGAGAAGTCTAACTACAAAGTTAAGAATCACACACTGGATTATAACCTGGTGAAGGAACTGACAAGTAGAGGAGCTCAGGAAGATAAATACCATAAAAGTGAAAAGTGTATAGGAGAGAAATCACCCTTCTGGTTACGCAGGTATGCACACTTCCTTAAGATGCCTAATTTCTCTGCTTATTTGGAAATGGTGAACAAGAAGCTTATGAGTGCAAAGAACTTGAATAGGGAGCATATAAAAATGCATTTGATTCGTAAGAATGTGACAAGTGAATGGAAAATTTCTGGTTTTGACATTTTTTACTTCCTTGTATAGTACGCTTCAGTAATAGAATAATAGAGAAGAGTTGGCGATCAGTCAAAACTCATGGACATATTTTCCCTTCCTAATTAGAATAATAAATCATTGATTTTGAACATAAGAAAGTAAACAAGACAAAATAATTAACTTACTGGTTGCAGACAAGAATAGTCATATTCAAGTGACAAGAGAAGAAATATGACCAATAAACAATAACTATCCATTTATTTGTTATCAGTAATCTACACACACTTTCTCTCAGTTTGGGACCCACTGCAACATGATATCCACTTAAGTTTTACCTGTATATCAGGCTGCCTTAGTGTTTTTCAGTCTCTTTTTTCCTCTTTCCCAGTTTTTCCTTTTGGTTTCTTTCTTTAAAGGAAGAAAATATTTATAAAATAAAGACCAAGGACCTGTTGTGGTTCACTTTAGGTTGGGTCATAACCCAGTTGTACATTAGGCTCCACCTGTTTCCTGAACCAAACTAGTGCCGTAGTTGGAGTAAGGACCATAATCTGCATTTGTTCCTGTCAGATATATCCACATCACAAAAACTCCTTTGTTCAGATCCCTGACACTTGAGTTCCTCAGCCTGATTTAAGTGATCTTAAGGGTCTTATGTTTGAGAAAATGAAAAGGGAAAGACGAAGCACAGAATAATAATTCCTAATTCTGTCAATTCCTAATCCTAGCTTTGATTAAAACATTTGGAAGATGGCTGTACTTTTGTGTATATATACTATGTTCAAGTGCCTATTAAGTCAAGGACTGGCAATGATGTAGAGAAAATAGCTTGTTTTTCAGTTCTGGGTGTTTCCAGACAAGACATTTATCATGCCATCACTTTGTATCATCACAGTGTTATGGTATGTACGGAGGTGGTGGGGGTCCTCACATTGTCATCTTCCACTCATAATCTTCCTGTGTTTCCCCACCAGTTCTGCCCCACCCCCTTGCTGCAGAAAATCTGTTAAGGGAAAAAAGATGCATAATGCCTTCCAATTAGTAATGAATTTTAAGGAGCCTTCCATCTGGAAGCATTCCTTGTCCATTATTCTAAAATTAGAATAATAGAGTTGTTATGAAAGCAACTAATTAGTATTAATAACTTGTGAAATGTTCACTATTGAATAGGGTGGTGTAAGCTGAGCATTCCATGTGGCAGGAATTCCTGGAGAAGCACAATCCTTCTCCACTCTTGGATCTTGGAGACAAATGAGGTTCCTGTGATTCAAGGCCAAGCTACCTTGTGGCAGGAGTGGTGGATGCCCCGCCATCACCCTATAGTGTTGTTTGAAATACTTCATAGGAATGTGTCACAGATTGCAGCTAGCTTACTCTGTCCCATATAATGTAATAGGTACTGTAGGAAGCCAAGCCACACAATACCTGGATGGTTCCTGTCTGGGTTCTGTTGCTTGGTCATATTATAGTGTCAAGTTATGTGAAGGAATTGATATTTGTGTGATATTGGCACACACTGACCTGTGTTGGGAATCAACATTTTTAAATATCTGTAATCTTTCTTGCTTTGGTCTCTTTTTCAGTTACAGCTGCTCCGCAGTTTAAATATTTTGTTTTATTTTTATATTAAATATAAAACATTTAATATTTTCCTCAGAAAATATTCAACCTGTTCAATATTCAAGTGTTCAACCTGTTTTTCTATAGTGAAAAGCCTGAATGTAGAATATCAGCAGTGTGCTCTCCAAGAGATTCCATGTACCAGTCTGTCTTCGTGATAACAGAGGAACGAAATGAGTGTGTTATAGCCACAGAGGTATGTCCTGTTCACTGTTCTGGAAACTATCTGGAAACCATACAGGAGTTACATTTACAGTGTATAATATGTAGAAATGTGACATCTTTTATAGTGAAAGATGGCACTGTAATTTGGGACTTTCAGGCATCATTTGCATAAATCTGCTGTACCTAAAATGGGTACAAAGAATTCCTTATTGATAGCAACTAGGGTAACTGCTGCATCAGATATCCCCAGCAAATTAAACTTAGGAAAATAGAAAAATCAATGAAGTAAATACTGGTTTTGTTTTTAAATGGTCTAAATGTCAAGGTAGAATACTGGAAATTTCCTGTAAAGTGGAATTCTGCTCACGGAATGCTCCCTACTGCAGCACCCTGCACTTTTGAAAAGCTGCTCTTCAGTTGGGAGATTTCCTAAAAGGTGAGGAACATAGCACAACTGGGCAATAGCAGATAAAGGAACCTGGGTAAATCTCACTGTACAGCAGAAGTGCCTTCAGTTCTTACAACAGCACCTCTGGCTCCAAGTCAGGGAATCTGGAGATACTAAACACAGAAAATAAATACATGGACATTCAGTGAATTCAGGTACTAGACTATAGCAAAAAATTGCATCAAAACATGTTAGGAGATGAGTTGGAGGTACCAAGTTTGTATTTGCCTGAATTTAATTTTACCTTTACATTGAACAATGCCCGTATCTATTTCTCATTCCTTTTTCTTCTTCTCATTCTTTATGACTAGGTATAAAGCTGAAGGCTACTCTGTTTGCACCTCAATTTTGGAGATGCCACAAGGTGGACATTCCTGCTACATTGTTTACAATTCAGCATTGGATTGGACTTGTATTTTTTAGTATATGCAATTTGCTGCTCTCAGGAGGAGGAGAGGATGGAAGTGGGTGAACTGGACAGACTGTGAATTTAAAAGGTGCAATAGACCTTATTTTCCCCTGTTCCCTTATTTTGAAGTCTAATAGGAGGAATGTAACTGACTACAGGGAGGGGAGAGACAGAAATAATGTCTCTTACTAGCCTTTGAAATTACGTTGCTGCCAGTTGCTCATGGACTTGTGTGACTTTCCAGAACTTCAGTCTTGGGAGGTGCCAGTTGGTGCAGAAGGCACTCAGCCATTATCAGAGTATACCAACAATACTGTGCGAAGAATGAATGGAGAAACATATTTTTCTATGCAGATAATGGATACAGAACAAATGAGGTCATCATTTTTTGTCCTGGATTTGTAAGTGCCTAATGCGTGTCTGAGAATCTAGAGAGCCCAAATCAAGACATACCTGCTTATCCCCCCTGGAGTATTCAAAACAGTATTGGCCAGGAGTGGCTGTCAATACCTCCTGTTGTTCCTCTGTTTCACATCCCTTTCCCCTTTATATATTGCTCACAGACAATGTAAGGAAGATGATTACTGAATTGGCATTTCATCTCATAGGATGATGCTTTGAACAATTGAGTAGAAAGTTGGGATTTGTTCTTATTTTTGAACTACAGGGACATCCATAGACTTAGAAGAGAAGGAGAATCTTGCCTCCTTCTGCTTATTATGGGAAAGCTTAATCCCACTGCTCACTGAAAGCCTTACAAGTGCGTTTAAAATCAATCAGCTGTTTTAATACCTTTTGCACTACTAGTTGCTATGAAAAGAAGTGTTTCTTTTCCTTTGTTATGCATAAGGAAGGACTTGGATTTTAGGTTAGATATCTGAGTCTGGTGCCACCATTTGAACTGCAATTACTTGCAAAGTCTAAAACTGTTTTTTTTTTTACAGCGAGGGAAGTTGTGTATGAGCTCTGCCTTTTTATATTTTGCTACAGAACCACCACTATCTACAGTTCAGTCTCTTTCCAAATGTCTAACAAAGACTAAGCTATGAAAGGGACTTCTTGAGGGATATAGGGTGGGGAAAACCTTAATTCTCTTGGCTTGCCCTGCTTGTTCATTCCTTCACACTGCTACATAGAAGGAGTAATTTTACATTTTTGAGTCCAAAGGAGCTGTTCTGAACTGGAAAACAGTGCACAGAGACTATCGTATACATTTGCAGCAATAATAATAGACATTTCAGATAGGAAGTGCTGTGATGTTTGTAGTGATAAACAAGTACTGTGGGAAAGAGAATATGGCGGAAGCAGAGAGGAAGCAAATTTTCATTCAAGGAAGTTGGGATTGTGCTTTCTGCGGTGGAAGAGCAATGTTCCTGACCTTGTAAATCCAGCATTGGATTAGTCCACCTACAGCCTTGAATTGTTCAAGCAACATATTGCTTGGAATGTTCGCTACTGACCTTTTGGTCTGACCATTCAAGACCATTATGAAGATGACCTTCAGAAATCAATAATATGGTTTATACTAGTGTCTGTTTGTAGTTTATTTTGAAGCCTAGTATTTCAGTAATTTAAAAAGAAAATCAGAAGCACTGAACTTTCTACATTTCGTAACATTATTTTGTATATAATGTATATTTATAATCAAAAACAGAAGTGTACATATGTTTATTACTTATGTAATGTTTTTATGTGATGACAAAGTTTGAATTTTATTTTTTTTCCAAATAATGAAAATACCTTCCTGCTACTACAAAGTTTTGTATGGTTTCCTGTTTTATGAGCTTGTGTTTTTGATCTTACAATGTTTACAAAATATTTCTTAGGGAACAATCTTGACTTTGGGGGAGCTTTAAAATCAGTCTGAGTCCAAGCTCTGAGTTCCTGTGACCTCTGAGCTTGACTTCAAACACGGAGCCCCTGCTCTGTCCCCCTTGCAGCTGCTGCAGGAAGAACTGGGTTGGCTGCCTCTCTGAGGTTGGAAATCAGCCTTGGAGAAGACTAAAGAGATGTGCAGGGGATGGGGAGGGGATGAGGCTGGGAGTGAATGTCTAATATGGTACCCAAATAGTGTGGTAGCCTCCTTCCCTCTTTCTCCGTAGTACTTCACTTTGATGGCTAAAAACCGCTTTCTGGATTAAACGTAAGGCTTGGAGTACAGGAGATGGTCACTGCTGTTTGTCATACCTTGCATGGGATAGGCATAAGCCCCTGGGTTTGGTTGTGTATGTTCATCAAGGGCAGAGGCAATTGGATTATGCTCTTAGCCCTAGACTTTAAGCCTTTGAGGTAGTAAAAGTTTATCACTGAGCATAATCTGCAAAAAATTCATATTAGTGTTTCTGCTGTATGAATTCAGTATACTTTTTGTTAAGTTTCTGAGATATAACTGTTAAATTCTAATTTATAGCTTCAATTATAGCTATAGGACCAGACATAATAAAAGCTGTATGGCTGTAGGCATAAAATCTTGGCTGTACATGTCCCTTTGGATAAAAAAGAAAGCAGAAAACAAATGTTTTAAATGTTGGCCATTCTGGGAACGATCCAGGATATTCGTGAACAGAATGACCAACTTCATATTTTGTTAGCAGGCTAAACTTTGTGAGTTTGTTCTTACTATTCTGTATTGTAATCTGAGCCCATGATGCATCAGGAATACTGCCTGTTTCAAAACACTTTCCATAGGGTACAAAGTGATACGGTAAAACATATGCAGGATAATTCTAACAAGTCCTATTATTTTGAAACCACATATAATATTCCATAGCTTAGAGAATTATTTTCAGCATTAAGTCACTGCTTCGAGACTGCTGCTTCCACCTAGAATGGTAGTGTCTTGGGGAAAATAGTAGGAAAAATTGGTGGTTTCTGTTGCCATTGCTGGTTTGGGACCAGAGATTCTGGGCTCTTTAGTCTGTTCGAATTAGCAGAAATCAAACTGTTTAAAACAGTCCCTATATGGATCATAACTGGCAAAAACACTTTGAATACATCATTTATAAAAATCTCAGATGGGAGGGTGCTAAGATGGTTGCATTTTATTTTAAAGTACATTCTTAGACAAATGTTGAGTACCACCAATAAGCCCATGAAGTCAGTGGAAGTAAGAGCATAATCCTATGGCCCTCAGACACTGTCTAGACTGCCATAGGGAAAGTTGGAGCCCACTCCAACCTTGGAAAATCACTCTGAGGTTGGAGCTGGAACTCCAGCTTTCAAGCATCCTCCCTCTGCTCTTGCAATCAACACAGGGCTGGCTGCAGCTCCAGTGTAGGAAGACTGACTTTGGAGCTGGTGCAGAGGGCCAGGGAGAAGCAAGGAGTCCTATGAGGAATCCTGACATTACTTCTGGCTTCTTCATGAGCTGGTGTAAAACATTTAGACAGCCGCAATCATCCATCTTAAGTTTTTGGAGATGAAGGAAGTACAGAATTTGAGTTTGGAGTGTTACAGCAACCACACTGAATGGTAAATTGAAGTACTCCTTACTGTGTGGATAGTGGGGCATGTCCTTTTTCAAAATAATTAGAAGCCTAGGATTTTTATTATGTCATGAATAACATATTGACAAAAGTAATGAAAGAGTCCTAGTTTGCTCTTGATAATATTCCATTTTGTTTAGTTTAAAAAAAACTGTGCGCTTCCCTCTTTAATTCTTTTCTTAGTAAAATCAGTTAAAAATCCTAATCTGTCTCCTTGACTACCATTTGAGGCAAACAATCAAGATGAACACAGAAATAAAAAGATCCCTCCCACCCCCAAACACTCACCCTGTAGAGCAAATTATGAAAAACAAGCCATTGACAAAAAGCTGAGCAGATGCTCCTGATTTGCAGCATTTCCTTGGCAATGTGAAATAAACCCAACAGATGCTTCTCTTAATTGAGTGCATGGATTACACACACACACACAGAGAGAGAGAGAGAGAGAGAGTCCATCAAACAAAAAATGAAGAGAGAACTCTTCCAACAGTTTAGGCAAACAAAACTCAGACTCAAAACTAAAATCATACAGGTCTCTGTCTCATATTTATTGCAGTCTACAAAACGTTTTATAGATTAGTGAGTATTCACACCTGCTTCTGCAGAACTGGTTCTAAAAAAATTGTATGCATATCCAGTGGGTACCAAGCAAAACCCCAAAGAGAACCAATGGAAACTCAAGTTTTAAATAAGTTCCTATCACAAGTAATCTGTATATACAAAACTGACTATAGAAACATAGAAACAGAATGGGTCAGAAGGGACTTCTCAGGTCATCTAGTTTGACCCCCGGCTCCTTCGGGCTTCACTCATGACATGCCTTGCCTATCCTTGAATGATCATGATCTACATGATCAGTCTCTTAGCAGGTCATAAACCTTTGAAAATTACTGGAACCTTAGATATCAATGGTTTACTTAAAACCAAAAGAAGAGCTACATAGTTCTTTGTTTAGCTGTTCAGAAAAATAGAACTGCAGGATCATTTGTGTAGGGGTAATATTGAGGTTGAGCAATGCATAGCCATAAGTAAAAGGAAGTAGAACTGCCTGTACCTTCCTAGGGCAAGCATTCAATGAGTTTACTATCAAATTCTAATCAAGATACAGTATAAACTTTGCTCAGTTTTGCTCAAATGGAAAATAAATCTAATATCAAAACATGCATTCAAAATTTGGTTTGCATGCGGCAACTCAGCTTGTTGGGAGTTACTTCACCCACAATGTGCCATGGCACTCATGAGTAGCACCTTTTACCTTCAACCTAGTGAGCATGGATTATCTGAGCATTAAACATCCATCACATAGCCTGTGAACTGTTCTAGAGCTTTTCAGCGCTAATGTAATCCATGCTCATTGGTTTGTACGATGCAAGAAATCCTGAGTCTGATATACAATATGGTAACTACACATGGAGTACGCTTCACCATGGGGGAGGCTATGCTACACAAACTGGCTGTGTTATATGTATGTGTATAAGTCAGAGACAGTCCAGATGAGACTCTGCTCTGCCTCATTCGTAGAATTTTACAGGGTATCCAGATGATAACATCTCCCACTTGTAACCCTCCCATGTTTTCACACTGCCTTTTTGATCCCTGTCCTTTCTGGAAATTATCTGTCAGGAGAGAAAAGTGGAATAGCTGCACTAGGAACTCCATGAGGAAGACCCTCTATCACTTTTTGGCACTACAGCTTTTTCTGGCTTTTTTATGCAATACCCCAAGCTTATTGTTGAGTGTGGATGCTCTGTAAATACGAGGCTTTTATTGCTAGATGTTGCCAGTGTTATTACCATTGAGGTGGTCAGACTTATCTGGCAAAATTAAATTCTGACTCCTTGCTTTGAAAATATACAAATTTTTGAAAATACTGCAACACCCAAGACTCTATGTACCTCATTTTTAATCTGAAAGATACAACTACTCCTGTATCTTCAGTATGTTCAGTTACATTCTCAAATAGTTTGCATTTTAGTATGTTGTGAATTTTCTTCTTAAAATGATAGATGGATAGAGCAAATAGAAAATGTCAGGGTCCTTTGGACAAAAATTTATTCTGAAACTGGTCAAGGTTATGCTGTTGCTGCCTTTCATATTCATTTATCCAACCAGCATGATCAATCCATATCTGTTGCATTCGAGAGCTAAGAGCCTGTTTCACTCCCAACCCAAATTCTAATTCTGAAGATGTGTTATAACGCTGTGCTTTTTGCCACACTGTCGTGTTCTCCTTCAATGTTCATAGCCTCTTTAAAGAGTCAGACTAATTAAAAATACTGCCACAAAGAAAAGATTTGTTTTTGTTGCCAGAGTTGTTAGTTTATTAACCTTCACTACGGTGAGAAAAAGGCTGGTAAAGGAATTGTTCTGAATTTGGAAAAGGGTTGGTATGTATCTTTGTATCTATCAGCTCCACATCTTCAGCCCTGTAGGATTAAGGATTAATTGCTCCCATGCTAACCTTCTCAGTAATATTATTCATGCCCCCATCTCCACATAGACTGATTCTTTTGTTTTGGTTTTTGCTCTTGTACTGTAAACTCTGCAGGGTGTGGATCAGGGTTTGTTTTCTAAAACATTGGTCTGTTTCTGCTTCTGACTACCACCACACACAAAATCTGGTTCAGAATGAATCCATCTGCCCCTGCTGGACAATTCCTATTGTCAACATGGTCACATCACTCAACACTCCGATGAACACAGTCTACATAATTCAAGTTGACAGTCCTAGTTATCAAAGATTTGGGGCTGTGGGGAGAGATTGTGACTTATGAGAGGGGAGGTTCCAGAATGGGGAAAGAAAGGGCATACAAATTGGAGGTGAGGAAGCTGGATCTGAAAATGACTTTTTGAAAGCTTTGGTGATATATATATACACACACACACCTTGCTTCTGATTTCTGCATCATTCTTCTCTACACACTAGATTTCAAGCTGTTCTCCAAGCAGTTATATAATATTTGTCTTCCCACAACCATCTCTAAGTGAAGCTTCCTAAATTGCCAAATTCTGCACAAGATCTCAGTATCTGAGTCCTCCATGGCAACCCCAGTGGGTGAATACACTGAGTGGATAAGAACCCAAAAGGCCTTGTAGTCAAATCCCCCCCTGGTGAGATGCTTTCTGAGGTGTGAGGATCTGCTAGAGAAGAAGGGAATTCACCCTGCCCTGCCCCACCCAGCCCAGGCCACATAAGTGGCCACCTAATTAACATTTTACTGGCCAGTTAAAGTTACCTTATCACTGCAAATAAATAA